ATGTGTCAGTTCTGGACGATCTAAATTTTCTTCAGGTTCCCAAGTATTGTCAGCATCTCTAAATCCCTTCCACTTCAGAAAATAATTCCCTCTTTCCATTTATGACACATCAATCTAGTATTTTTCCTATTACAAATTCTTCAGTCTCTGTCAACTTTTTTTACTTTTTCGATTCTGTTTCTTTCCCATTTTTTGCAATGTAGTTTTATTGGAGGCCATTTTTTAAATTGCAGACTTAAAGAGCTATCTTTCACCACCAATGCTCCAGGTCTTGGATCTCTGCACCTCCATATAAATGTTTTTTACATTGGTGCTTAACAATCTCTTAGATCAATGTTAAGAACTTTGCCAAGATCCCACATGGGTCCCTTGTGATGCCTCTTCTGTCATTTCTCGTTTACAATCACTCTTCAGAATTCTGTCACCAGTAGGTTTTGTTTTTTATTTGATACTAAGGAATGAACCCAGGAGCACTTTACCACTAAGCTACATACTCTACATACTCAGCCCTTTTTATTTTTTATAATATTTTTAGTTGTTGATGAATCTTTTATTTTATTTTATATGTGGTGCTGAGAATCGAACCCAGTGCCTCACACATGATAGGCAAGTGCTCTACCACTGAGCCACAACTTCAGACCATACTCAGCCTGCCAAGTCCCTGGAGTTTCAGGTGGATTTCACTGCACCAGGCTTTTTGGGGGGTGGGGTAGTGGGGATTGAAATCAGGGGCACTAGGGCACTGAGCCACATCCTTAGACCTATTTTTTAATATAATTTTTAATAACTTTATTTATTTATCTTTATATAGTGCTGAGGATCAAACCCAGGACCACACATGTACTAGGCAAGCACTCTACCACACCCTATTTTGTATTTATTTAGAGACAGCGTCTCACTGAATTGCTTAATGCCTCACTTTTGCTGACGTTGCTTTGAACTTGAGATTCTCCTGCCTTAGCCTCCCAAGCTGCTGGGACTAGAAGTGTGTGCCATCACGCCTGGCTAGCATACATTCTTATGCCTGACTTATTTTGCTCTATACTTGTTTTGTGAAATTCACAAATGTTAAGTGTAATTGTACTTATTTCTCATTGCATTTGAGAATATATTGTAATATATTAATTGATTACACTTTTGATGGATATTTTAGTAGTTCTGAATTTGAGACTATTGCCCATTATTTTCCTTCAATGAAAAGTCTACCATGTTTTTGTTGGGCAAATACTTAAAAGTAGAATTGCTAGATTATATGGTGTTCCATTTTATGTTCAACCCAGCAATTTATGAAAGTTCCAGTTGATCCACATACTCTCCATTATTTGATATTATAATCTTTTATGTATTCTGTTTATTGTGTAGTTAAATTTTAAGTTTTAAAATTTAAGTTTTAATTTGCATTTCCTTGATGCATAAATGATGTTCAGCACCTTTCTCTATGTTTATTCGCCACTTGGATCTCCTCTTTTTTGAAGTGACTGTTCAGGTAATCTTGTTCACTTTCTCCTTTTTAATTTTTTTTTTTTAAGTTTTAGGTGGACACAATATCTTTATTTTACATTTATGTGGTGCTGAGGATCGAACCCAGGGCCTGGTGCGTGCTAGGCGAGCACTCTACCACTAAGCCACAACCCCAGCCCTCCTTTTTAATTTTTAAAATTTAATTTTCAGGGCTGGGGTTGTGGCTCAGCAGTAGAGTGCTCACGTAGCACGTGCGAGGCCCTGGGTTCTATCCTCAGCACCACATATAAATAAATTAATTAAATAAAGATATTGTGTCCAATTACAACTAAAAATAAATATTTAATTAAATTAATTTTTATACTGGGGAAAATGCTATAAAGAATTCCCATATACTCTTCACCCATCTGCCTACATAGTACAATTGTGAAAACTGAGAAATTTATACTGATGTAAATTTTTTAACTAGTTTATTGAACTTATTCAAATTTTAAATTTTGTTAATTGTACTTTTCTATTCCAGAAACTAATCAAAGGTCTCCTATTGGTTTATTTTGTCTTGTCCCATTAGCCTTCCCATATCTGACATAGTTGTTTAGCCTTTATTTATTTATTTATTTATTTATTTGGTACCAGGAATTGAATCCAAGAGCACTTAACCACTGAGCCACATCCCCAGCCCTTTTTATGTATTTATTTATATTTATTTTGAGACAGGGTCTCACTAAGTCACTGAGGCTGGCTTTGAACTTGAGAGTCTCCTGCCTCAACCTCCCAAGCTGCTGGGATTACAGGCACGTGTCACTGCCCCAGCTAGCCCTTTATATCTGTTATAAAGATGATTTTGAACAATATTGGCCAGTTATTTGGTAGACTTTTTTCCTTTCTTTCTTTTGTTTTTAATTACTGCATACTTCAGCTTGTGGCCTGAAAGTCAAAACACTTTGAGATAAAAACATTTCTGTCCTATAGCTGGCTCCTGAAATCCTGGACATTTTTCATATTAGAGGCAGGTTAAAAAATAAACTATTTTCTTATAAACCTGTTTCCTTTTTGAAGTAATATTTCTTGTTCTGCTTATCACTGGCGATGTTTGCTGGGCTTGTCTACCGATATTTGTTTTTTATCTGTGACAAAAAAGATGATCTGAGGATTGGAGTGAAATCTATAAACTGACTAGCCCAGAGTCTAGCTCTTTACAGCCACTCAGTTAATAGAAGGAAAATTGCAATCTTCCATCCAAAAGGCAAAACATTCGATAGATTGTAAGAATAGAAAGTTCTACCTGGTTGAGGTGGCTTGTGCCTGTAATCCCAGCAGCACAAGAGACTGAGGCAGGAGGATCTCAAGCTCAAACCAGCTTTGGCAATTTAGCAAAGCCCTAAGCAACTTAGCAAGGCCTTGTCTCAAAATAAAACATAAAAAGGGGCAGGGGAAGTGGCTCACTGGTTAAGTGCCCCTGAGTTCAATCCCTGGTACCAAAAAAAAAGAAAGAAAGAGAAAGTTCTAATTTTTAGGGGGAGGCTTTACATAAGTATACATAATTTCTCTCTCAGTTATAAATAACAGAAAAACCAAAATGAAAACACCCTGAACAGTAAAGACTTTAAATATAATACAGGAATTGTTTTCTATTGCTACTACAAATAATTTCCAAAACCAATTCCATGGGTCTGAAGTCAGTGGGCACAGCCATTCATCACTTGAGTCTTCTACTCAGGGCCTCCCTACTAAAATCAAGGTATCAGTTGGACTGTCCTCTCATTCGGAGGCTCTTGGGAAGCTTTGTTTTCAAGTTCATCCAGGTTGTTAGAAGAATTTAGGTCCTAGAGGTTCTAGGACCAAGGTTCCATTTCCTTGATATGGTCCCCTTCATCTTTGAGACAACAGCAGATTGAATTGTTTTCGTCCTTCTAATGGAATGCCTTTTTCAATTTAGGCTCATCCTTCATATTTCCTCATGGTTAAACTTAAGTCTATGCATTTTTGGCAAAAAGATCACTGAAATGGTGGTGTTCTTCTCAATGTGTTGTATCAGAGTTATGTGATATTGTATTTTGGTATTAATAGTGTTTTTTGGGACTGGGGTTGTGGCTCAGCTGTAGAGCGCTTGCCTAGGACATGTAAGGCTCTGGGTTCGATCTTAAGCACCACATAAAAATAAACAAATAAAATAAAGGTATTGTGCCCAACTACAACTAAAAAATATTTTTTTAAAATAGTGTTTCTTTGATCACTTGATAAAATCACTGCTATTCCCATTGTCTTAAGTAATATCTTGTGGGAAGACAGACACTTCAGGACTGTGCAAAAATCTTATTTCTCATCATGTTTTTGCCCATTAATTTTACCCTCAATTTATGAATCTTATCTATAAGAACACTATGATATTTGACTAATGGTGATTTCTATCAATCCTTCTACATTTAATCTGAATTTTACTGTAAAGAAGGACTATCTATTCCTCATGTATATTTAACTATTTATGGACTCTTGGATATATATTTTATTTTATTCTCTGAGTTTTATTCCATTATTATCATTATTCATTTGCTGCCCAGAGTTTAGCCCATTTTGGCCTTTAGGAGTTACTTAAGTTTGAACCTGTGTCCTTTCAAAGCATTTTTTTAAAATGAGCATTTTCTTACTTTCTAGCACCATTCACTATTCAAAACTTACCTGGTATTTTCCCTCTTCCAGCCCTGAAATCAGCAATTTCTTCATGGACCCCTAATTTCTTTTATCAGAGAATGAATTTATAAACCAAGATCTGGTCATTGGTGTGCCCCTGCTGGATTTCAGTCAGCAGAAAGAGCTTTAAAAAAAAAAAAA